AAATTTTGACACTAGGAATCAAACAGTTGAAGAAATGGCCATTGTACTCCGAAGCTGGTCCTGGGCGTGCAGTTTGTTTTGACTGTGGCGTGCCGCGGGCCGCGCGGTCCGTGCGGGATGGGCGCCTTGATTGCGTCGGCTGCGCGGCGTGGCGGTGCTTGGCGGTGCGTGGCGGTGCGCCGGGCTGCGGCGTGCCTTCCTCGGCGGCGTGGCGGTGCGTGGCGGGACTGGTTGCGGCTGATGACGCCAGCTGACCTTGAGCAGGTCCTGAGTGAAGCCGCGCGGCGTGGCGCGGCGCGGCGCCAGGAACCGGTCTCTCCTTTCGGCCCCTCCACCTCGTTCCCGCCAAAAGTGGCCGCCGACCCGCGAGGCCCGCGAGGCCCGCGAGGCGCTCTAGGGCGCGGCGCGCATCCTTGCCGCGGGGTAAGAAGGGGGCCGCGGAGCTGCAGTCGTTCCGTCTCTCTCGCACTCGTGGGCCGACCCGCCAGGCCGCCAGGGTGCGAGTGAGACGGAACGACGTCGCCGGCACACTGGTGCGGGACAGGAGGAAGGTGTCGCGGCTAATGTCGCCTTGAACGGCGACGGTGCCGCCGCTGCATTGTTGCGGCCGTCGCGGCGCTGGAAGTGGCACTGGAGTGGCGCGGCTCCGCGGCACACTGTAGTTTATCCAGGCCTCGGCAAGGCCGCTCCCTTCCTCGCGTGGAGCTGGGAGCACTGGAAGCACCGGCTGGAGGAACTCGCTGGGAACCGAGGGGAACCAGCCGCCTCATCTCCGGCGCGCTCTGCAAAGTCGGCTGCCTGCTTCCCGCCGTGCTTGGTCTTGGGCAAGGCGCAGCAAGGCGCAGCAAGGCGCGGGCTAGGTTTTCCACGGCGCTGCTCTGGCGTTGGCCTTGCGCTGCACGCGGTGCTCGCGTTGCTCGCGGTGCACGCTGCACCCCGGCGATGGCGATGGCGTGTCCGGTGGTTGGGTCCGCGGTCCGCTCGGCTCGGCTCGGCCCTTGCCGGCACCGTTGCACCGGCCCCGGCTGGGCTCGCGGCCCTCGTGGCTCGGCTCGGCTCGGCTCGCGAGCTCTCTGGCTTCGGTTTCCTGTTTCCACGGCTCCGCTAATCAGTTGTGGTGACCCGTCCGTGACGCAACAGGCCGACGGCGGGCCGACCGCCGCGGCCGCGCTCATGTCCTACTTGGCGGCGCGGGGCTCCTGGGTGCGATGCGCGCTGCGCCCGTTTTCGGCCCCCTGTCGAGCAGCGCGCCCGGAGGAGTGCTGGTTCGTCGCTGTCGCACCTCTTCGGGACGGCCCATGAGAGCTGCTGCTGCGTTGGCTGCGTTCGCTTTGGCCGCTTTGGCCCAGGTCAGGCTCGGTCCCTGGATGGACGCGTGGGTGGACGCCGCCCGCGCGCAGCTTCCTGGTTGTTACGGGCCGCGGGGCCGCGCGCTGGCCGGCTGTGCCAGTGGCTGTGCCGTCCCATCCCCGTGGGTGTTTGGGTGAAAGTGACCGTGGGACGACCGGCGGGGCGGGGCGGGGCGCGGGGCCGGCGAGGGAGGTGGAGGGGGCGGCCCTGAAGAAAGTGTTGAGGGGTTCCCGCTCTTATGTAAGGCCAGGCCGGCACCAGCCGGCACTCGTTGGCGGGGCGCGCGGCGGGGCGGGGCCATTGTGTAACCTAGTAAGCCTCCAGAGTGTGTCGCTCGGCCGGCCTGACGGCCTGCTTTGGGCCGCTGGAGGTGTGGCAGGTACCCGCGGTGATGTCACCGTGTTTGGGGGCTCCGAACCGGTACGGCCGCGGCCGGGCCGTGGGCCGGGCCTGGCCGGGCCCGGGGGATGCACCGTCAAGGTCACGCACGCTCTCGCACACGGGGGGCACGGCGGTGTGCAGCGCGGTGCTGGTCGTGCTGGTCCTGGCGGTGGTTGGCGACGTGCCGTCCCTGAGGAGCACGCTCCGCCGCGCCGCCGGTCGTGCAAGGGAACGGCTACCGTGGCCTCCTTCGGCCCCTTCGGCGCTGCAGTCAGTACGCGCCGCACAATTATGGATCAGTGGCCTCAGCGCGCCTCGGCCCGAGCCTGAGCGTCGTGTTTTTGCCGTGTGGTGGGGCGGGGCGTCGAACGGCCGATGCATTGAGTCCAAGGGTCGGGCCTTTGTCGCGGGCAGTGCGCGCGCACCGTGCGTGCCGCGTGCGGCGTGCGTCGCGGGGCAGTAAACTCGACGTGCGACGCGGTGCGACGCCTTGGTGCAGCCGCCGTGGGCGCGGCCCCGCGCCGCCGCCCTGCTTTTTTCTGCCACGGCGTGGCCCTCGAGAGCGTTGGCTCGCAGGCCCCAGGGTCGCGGCGGTCGCGGCCCCAGGCCCCAGGCCGGGCCACACGTGCGAGTGAATGCTTGCTGCAGTTTCGGCCGGCGTCTGCGTGAGTGATGATTTTCGGGCGTGTCTCGCGCTGCCACACCGCCTGCCGACTGATTCTGCTGCTCTGTCTCTCTCGCACTCGTGCGTTGTTCCGTCGGGGTGCGAGAGAGACGGAGCGACGAGGCGCTTGTTGTGGAATCAGCCCGCCGACTCTGCTCTCCGCCCCTCTGGGCCGATAATGAAGCCTGGTTATTAACAAGTGGCTGGCAGGATGTGCTCGCTGCTCGCTGGTTGATGTTGGTAGTACTGCACGTGACGGGCCGGCGGCGTCCGCCTGTCTGTCTGCCTGTCCGTCTGTCTCTTCTGCTGTCCGACCGTCTGCCGATGGCTTGATTTGCGCGAGTGCTGCTTTCGCAATCAATCGCCACTTCGACGGTCCGACGGAATGCCGCGGCGGTCCAGTAATGCCGAGCGGTCTGTCTCTCTCGCACCCCCTGCGCAACGCCCGGCACGCCCTGTGAGTGCGAGAGAGACGGAGCGCCGGCGGTCCGTCTTGTGTTTTTTCGAGGGTCCTTTCCCGGGCTGGCGCTAAGGTCCTGCAGAGGTCCCTGGCTGCATCCTCTAACGAGATGGAGTTAATGAACCGCCCGGCCTTCGGGCAGCCCTAGAGGCCAGTCGCGGGCCAGCAGCAAGCTGTCGTTCCGTCTCTCTCGCACCCATGTTAGTACCGCAAAGGTGCGAGAGGGACAGAGCTTCGAAACGGTCCTGCGTTGTTCGGAAGCAGCGTGCTGGCGTGCTGCTGCCTTGGCGACGCGTGTCGGACGGCCCTATGCGTGTTGGTGGTGTTGGTCTTCGTGGCGGGATGGTCGCACTTGCCACGGGCTGTGGGCGTCGTGGACGCGTACCCATTTTTTTGCGGTGTCTGCAACTCGACTGATGTCGGTTCGACTACGCTCTGGTGCCCCGCTGTTGGTATTTATTCCTCCGCCCCCCTCGTTTTTTGGAATCGCTGTTCTTTTTTTTTTCCAGTGCGGGACGTTCACTTCGGCTTCGGCTCGGTGCAGCCGGTGTGGCTCGGCTAGCTTCGGGCCCACTCGGCCGGGCTGGCTGGGCTCGATCTTGCCGGTCTTGCCGCGCTCCGGAGAGTTATGTAATGGCCAGGCGAGGCAGTGCCAGTGCCTACCAGTGCCCGGCCCGGTACGGCCCGGCTGCCTGGCACTCGCTTGGTACCGCCGCTGGCTGGCTGCCTGCCTGGCTGGCTGGCGCGGCCCCGGGTGGCCCCGTTGTGTAAGGAAAATGTGGCGCAGCGTAATCCATGTGAAGCGAGAAGCACCCTGGGGGGCGCGCGACCCGCGATCTCGGCGCAGGGGGTCTTGTGGGAGGGAGGGAGCATCCCGAGGCGTCTCGGGGATCTCGGTCTTTGTGACGCGGGCAGGCGCGATGTGAGCGTGCGCGAGTAATGAGAAATAGCCGTTCTTACTACTCGCGCGCGCCTCCGGCCCTCCGGCCTCTGTGGCCTGCGGAGCCTGCGGCAGAGTCCGAGGACGCGAAGGCCGCGGTGCTTTCCAATCGGACGCTGGTCGGCGAGCGCCGAAGGTCGTCCTGCTGGTGTGGTGGCGGTGCTGGCGCGCGGCTCTCGTGACGGCGGGACGGTACTGGGCCACTCTGAGCCCGCGGCCCGCGGTGACACAATACCCCGCTGCAGCCCGGCTGGAGGGGAGGGGGGCACCGGAAGGATGGGCGGGGCGGGGCGCCGCCGCGCTTGGCGGACAGTGAAAGTGCTCTGGATGCGATGCACAGCGCAGAGACTGCAGCGGACTGCACCGCGGCGCGTCGCGCAGCAGTGGACTCGGCGCCACTCTGCTTGTTGTTGTTGTTTTCCGTGTCCGGAAGGGATTGAGTGATTTAGCGGTTTAGCGCGCGGCGCCGAGTCAGGCTCGCTCGTCGAGATGCAGCGGGGATTTGAATATGAAATTGCGGCGGGGCCGACGCGTTTTTCCCCCCGGCCGTCGCACCACTCTTTTTTTCAGTCCCCCAGTATCCCCCGTGACACTCGTCGGCTGGTTCAATAACCCGTCGGCTTATGCCCCGTCAGCCTCCCTGACGGGCCGGGGCTAGCCGGGGCCCGGGATTCGAAGGCCGAGCGTTGCCCCTCGCCCCGCCTGGCTTGCCTGGCTTGCCTGGGCGGCCCGTGACGTTGTGGCTGGCACGCGGTGCCGCGCGGTGCCAGAGTCCTCGCGCCTCGCTCCTCGCGCCACGCATCGCCTGGGCATGAATAAGCGAAGTAGTTCCAAGTCGTTCATCCCATGGCATGCCATGGCAGTCGGCGGCGCGATTGTGTCGTGAATGCGTTATCGGATCCATGAACCCGGCCCGGCCGACGCGCCCGTCGCGCTGCGTGTTCTTAGCGGGCCTCTCTGAATGAAAAGCAAAGCGTGTCCGGGGAGGCGACGTGCTGCCTGCTGCCGGATGGTTTTCCCTGCACGGTTTAGCACTGCCCCTGCCCTCCCCGCCCCGCCTCGTTACGACCTTCGCGCCTCAGTGCTGGCCGAACGGTGTGAACCGCGTTCACTCTGTGGGAATCTTCGCCGTTTTCCACCTTTGACAAGAAACGTGTGATTTTGAATGAAGTTGTCTAACTCGTTGCTCCCTTTGTGCGTTGCAGAGCCACAACAGCAGCGCCGGCCGCCACCAGCACGGTCAGCACGGCGGCGTGCGGTGGGCCGACGCGCGGGTCGCCGGGGTGCTCGACTACCAGCGCGAGGGCCTCAGCAGGCGCGCGTCCAACCCCGTCACGTCTGCCCCGCCACCCGGCCTGGCCGCCCTCAACATGACCCACGCCCTGGTGCTGCAGCTCGACACGCAGCCGCAGTCGCCCCCCGCCCCCGCGCCCGTGACGCCCACCCCTACACTGCAAGCCGTGCCCCCCGCGCACCGCAAGCTGGACCGCAGCCACAGCGAGCCCGCCAACGCCGCGTCCGTGTGCAAGTCCGCGGCCGCGGCCGCCGCCGCCGCCGCCAACATCAACACGTCGCGCTACAAGACGGAGCTGTGCAGGCCCTACGAGGAGTCCGGCTCGTGCAAGTACGGCGACAAGTGCCAGTTCGCCCACGGCGCGCACGAGCTGCGCACGCTGGTGCGCCACCCCAAGTACAAGACGGAGCTGTGCCGCACGTACCACACGATCGGGCTGTGCCCCTACGGGCCGCGCTGCCACTTCGTGCACAACGACGAGGAGGTGATCGGGCACGCCAAGCCCAGCATGCAGAACGCCATGCCGGCCGCCATGGCCAACGTGGGGCCGACCGGCGTGCCCAACGGCGTGCCCACCGGCGTGCCCCGCCCCAAGGCGCTGACGCTGGCCACGGCGCCGCTCCCCGCCCACGCCGCCCACGCCGCGCACTCCCCGGCCCACAGCTACCTGGGCGGCTCCACGGCCGACTCGCCCTCGCCGACGTCCAGCCTGAGCCAGTCGCCCACCAACTCGCACCGCTCCTTCTTCATGTCCTCCGAGGACGTGTTCGGCTCGGGGTCCGTGTCGCCCACGCCGTCCTCCGCCACGGCCAACACGGCCTTCTCGTTCGGCCAGGACTTCGGCCTGGTGCAGTCGCCCCCCGTCGGCCACCACGCGCCCTGCGGTAGCGGCGGCAGCACCGGCTCCGGCAGCTCCAGGGACTCCCCCTCGCCTCCCGGCTCCCCCTTTCGCCTGCCCATCTTCAACACCCTGTCCAACCAGGTGCTCAACATCCGCCTGGACGCGTAGGCCGCTCCCTACCCTCCCCTGTTCGTCCTGCCCGTCCCTCCCTCCCCATTGAGCACAGCACTATTTATATTATTGTACAGAAAAGAAGAGCGGCCCAACCATGGGATTGGATCTCCTGCGGTAGGCCTTGCTTCCTTAGCCGCCTTAGCGTTTGCTCAACCATCACGATGACGTTGTCCTGCTGGGAGACAACCTACCTACCTTTATCTACGGGACTGGTGTCGTTTCTTCTCTTTTTTCCATGTGTAATTTATTTGTGTATCTTATGAGTTGAAAGGTGTAATCGATTGAACCTGTGAGAATAATTATAGGCTTTTGACTTTTTTTTGTCGAAATCCACCTTGACCAAGATGTTTTTTCAATTGCGTAAATTATCATTTTATGTTATTTATTATTTTACTTATGAGTTGAAAGTCATATGTTTGTTTTTGTTTTTTTAATTATTATTGCTAGTGCGCTTAAGGGCATTTTCCTTTATTTAGTAATGCTCCAATCGTGGAAACCATCAGGGACTGAATGTCCATGTGAAAGGTACCTTAGTCCAGTAATGCCCCCAACGTGATGTGATTTAATTTTTAAAATAACCTGGTTAAAGTACTTTATAATAATAGAATTGTACATAAGTGAAATAAGAAACAAAGTTAACCAAGTTGACCACATTTTTTTTGTCATTAACTTCAACAATCTTTATTGTCTAGACTTCTCGTTTTGAGTGTAAATTGCTGCACTTTCCATTCCATTGATTAATATTCCACTGCTACACATTCGAATTATGTTAGTACATTCATCCATGATAACTTGAAAGACTGTCAACATGATATTTCCTCAAAGTATTGAAAGCTTGATTTCCTTTGTTTTCATCTATGATAGAGGCTTTCTTCATTGAGCCTAAAAGCTCTTAAGCAATAAGATTAAATGCTCACCATGTGCGGTTCATATATGTGATGTATTGTAGCAGCATCCTTAACATTTCTCCCTGTTAAATTATTGAAATTGGACGTGTCACTTTCACATTTGTCTTTCGTTGTTTCTGTGAAACATTTGGAAAAGTGCATCAGGTTTTGTGATTCTGCTTGTATATTATAATTTATGTTTTGTATAAACTGGAACGAATCACTATGGTCCTGTTTGTCTTGTTTTCGCCCCTCACAATTTATTTATGATGATGTATACATGTATTAATTTTTGCTTCAATCAATTATATGTTTAACGGAGTGCACTGACTAAGAAAGATTTAATTGCTAGGGGCGGCTTTTCAGCCATGGTACATGAAGGCAGTGTGGGCCAGTATTCATTGAATTCTAGGGCCGGCTGGCTGTCATTTGTAGGTTTTATACCTGTAGTCACTTAATATAACTTATATTGCCGGTATTGTATTCAGTTCTCCTGAAAGAAAATTTTGATTTTGAAGACAGAGGAGCCAATGTTGAAGGTTTGATTGTGATTGGTTTCGCACATTTTTGTTTTCTTTTTTAAATTATTTTATAACATGTTAATTTATATATTTTTGAGGTCCAGGCAACTTGTCTGGCATACTATCATGCTGAATCAGGTGCCCAATAATTCCTCACTTAGATAATGCGTTTTAGACAGGACAACTGTAATATCCATGTGTGTCGATTCAGTCTCTGCACTTCCCTTTATTTCCTTTTTTTATTTTAAACTGTTGAATTATTTATTGAGGGGCGCCAGTTGTATTTATTGTGGTCGGCGCGTTGCTGCGCGGGTTAGTCATGGGGAAGTAGCCAAACCCGTTTCTCATACAGGTCCAGGAGCTTTTTTCATTCACCTTTATTTTTCTGTTATCTGTTCTTTTTGTTTCTGTTTTTTTTTGCTTTTTTTTTTCAAACTTTCCAATTCTGGAGCGAAACCAACATACTTGCAAAATGAGCTTCCTGGCGCGGGCGGTCTAGAGTGCCACTGACGGCCGTGCCCCGCCGGAGCAATCTAGTGCGCTTCGAGCCGAAGGGTACATGTACAAGTTGCCCTTGTTCCAGTGTCACAGCTTCGGTTTTGGTTTCGTCCTTTTCGGGTTCCTTCGGGTCTCAAACCTTGCGCGTTCGGGGTGAAGCAGGGCACTGGTTGCATCCCTACCGCGAAAGGTTTCGGTTTCCGGTTGGGTTGGTGAAAAATTCTTGCTTTCAGTTTGACTTTAAGAAAATGTACTATTTTTACATAAATAGTTTTCCCTGTCTATTTAGTCAAGTTTGTATTTAATGTGTGGTAACTTATTTAACAAGTATTTATCACTTTTTGTTTTGGACGACGATCGTGCAAAGACACCTTGTGTATGTTTATTATTTGTTTATAAAGGATATGTACCATTAAATTATATTATTTTATAAATCATGATAAAACTACGTGGAAATTGGTGTTTTTCTCTGAGTTTTTTATATTGTCAGCAGACGTAAATTATTGAAAATTTGAGCTGAGTTATGTTTTAGTTTAGACAAATGTTTACAGTGTGTAAAAAACTTATATTTTATTGCTCATATTCGCTTATACACTATGAAGAATCGTAAAAGTCAAATAAAATCCTCTTTCCATTGTTTTCAAATCAGTCTTTTTCTTCCTTATACACAATACCCAATCCAAAGATTTATCACCAAAAATTATTTGAGAACATCAAAACAGTGAATGACTGTTGAAATGGAGAGAGAATAGGAGAGAATTAAAACAACAAGAGAGAGTGAGAGCAGCAAAAGGACTAAAATAACAATACAGACGGCCAAGAATATGGACTGAGATTGGACATTGCATGTCCTGTCCGCCACGCTCCAGGGCCTTTTTTCCTCGGCGAAGGACGAGGGGGAGGGGAGGGGGGACAAGGAGCGGCGGCCGAGGCAACATTCAATAACACTCCGGGCTGGGGTACCCGGGCCGGCTGGCAAGGCCTGGCGGAGGAAGGGAAGTGAACCCCTGCTGCTGATTTAAATTTTATTCCAACTTCGGGTTGGGCCGTACCGGCAGAAACATTTTTTCAAGTGCGGGGCGAGGGGCGCCGCCGCTCTCGGGTGTCGCCCCGCTCGCAGAGCACGCAGAGCTTGCAGGGGATGTCAACTGATCGGGGAACTCGATACGAGCGGCCCGGCCGCCCAGCCCCGGCCGGACCATGCCCATGCAGGCCCCCTTGTTGGTGCTGGAAGCACGCTGGAAGGGACTGGGCTGGTGGCTGGGCCCTTCCCATGAGTCGCCCGTCTAGTCCTCTTGAGAGCCACTTTTCGATTGCATTGGGCGGCCCATTGAGGCATTGAGCATGCCGTGGAGACTGGAGACGGGCATGCTGGTAGGACCATCTCCGCACTGAGTGTCGTGGCGACGGCCCCTGGGGGTGTCGCGACGAGCACCCCGCGTGACATTCACTCCTTCACCAGCATTTCAGGATAAATAACTCCGGACGGCCGTGTTCTTCGTGTGCGCTCCGCGACCAATCCGAAGTCGCCTCCTCAGGATCCCATTTTTCGCCGCCGTCTGCGCCAAGTGTCCCTCGGCGTGTCTCGCGTGTCCGATGCGGTAACTGGAGGAAGCAGGGAGCGCGGCAGGAGGGGGAGGAAAGGGGGAGAGAGGGGTGACAGGAGCAGAGCGATGAGCTGGTCGTGGTCGGGCCGATTGGTACCGGTTCCGCAGGGTGTGGTTCGATCACCAGTGACGCGCGGGCTGTATTATGGGATGGGGCCACTCGTTTGCACAAGCAGCTTCGTTTAGCGCGAGCCGAGCAGGGCGGAGCAGAGCAGCCGCCCCGGGCGAGGCAGGGCCGAGGAGGCCGAGGCAAGGCAAGGGCGGAGCACAGCCCGCTCCTCAATGCGATAAGTCAGCCGCGGGGTTAGCGCTGCAGCGTGCATCCCTTAGAACGCGTCGAGTTCTCTTGGTTCGATTCCCGGCCGGCACCGCGGTCGTTTGAATTGTGCGCGCGTCTCGACCATACGGCAGCACACTGTGGCACCGTGTAGCGTCGTGTGGTCGCGGTGTGTGCGGCCCCGGCGGGGCGAGCAGCACGCCGAGAGCCGCGTGTACAGTGTAGTACACATTTACATCGAATCGGAGACGCCCGCCCCCTCGAGGACCCCGTCGACGTGTCGGTCGGACTGCTATGGGCTGCTGGCCGACGACGCGTCGGCGCACTGTACTTGTTTTGCGTGGCGTGGAGGCCAGACCGCGTGGCGGTGCCGCGGTGCCCAGGACAACGCCGTGCCCGGGTACCCGGGACGCCGTGCCCTTCCCTGTCATCTTGGGGCTGTGGGCGAGCGGCGAGCGGGGCGCGGGTATGGCCGCGTCGCCTGGCCGCGCCTGTGCCGGGCACCCGCCGCGCCGCGCCGCGCCCCGCCGCGCTCTACACGTGACGTGACTTGACGTGTGACAGTCTTTTGTTCCCGGCAGCCCCCTGGCCGCCCGGCCGCAGCCCGTGGAGGTACCCAGCGACTACCCACGCCACGCCACGCCACGCCACGCCACACGCCTCGGCCGGCCGCCCCGCTCGGAATCGAAATCAATGCACACACCTCGACACACCTGCACCGGCCGACCAGGACCGGGGACCCCTTGCCCCCCCCCCCTTTCCCCCATCGCCTCCAGCACTCTAACTTTTCTTGTTTGGTGCTTTATTGGAACACAAACGATATTTTAATGTCGCCTTTCTTGTTCCTTTTCGTCACGTTCGTGATCACGTTCGCTCGCGCTCGCAGGGCTGGCCGGGGGGGGGGGGGGGGGGCAGACGCGCAGACGGTAGGTGCGCCTTGGGTGCCTCTCCCACTTTCCCCCTCCCCTCCTCCCTTTTCCGTGGATCATGTAAAGCCCATAAAACAGAGAAATGTGCCAAGACTGTTCGCACGCCACGCCGGCCAGTCCTTCGAAACCTTCCCAATAGCCCCCTGCTCCTTGCTTTCATGCGAATCCTGAATCCCGCGAGGCACGCCGCCTGCCGAGTCCGCGGTAGCCTGCACCGCCAAGCACGCCTGCTCGACAGGCCTGCCCACCGCCACGGCGCCCGGTCGCGCAGTGTATCGGCATCGGCGCTCCGGTGTCGCACGGCCTGCCTACCTCCGCCTAGAACACGCCCACCGGGCAAATTATCTGCCTCGTCGGCAAGCCTCCAGGAAGGCGCGGACTGAGGTAGGCAAACCGGCCGTCGCTGCCTACAAACAGGACGACGGCGCCAGGCACGGCCGCGCACGGCCGCTGGGGGAAACCGGTGGGAAACTCGATTCTGAAACTCTGTCATCACGATGCGGTGACGGCCTGCTGCAACTGCGGTGTCCCCGAGACGGTCGCCCATCACGCACGCACTCTTGGCGGCGTCCTCGGGCCTCGGGGACGCGCGCCTGACGGTGCGGGCGCCCATAGAACGCCGGGTCCTTCTGCGGCGTGTCCTTGGCTGTCCTTGGCGGGGCGTGCGCGTGCGCAGGCTAGCGCCGGACTCCCTCCGCACTCGTTCGTTACGTGACGGCGTGCCTGACGGCCCGACGGCGACGCGGGCCTGCCGGTGTCCGGGACTAACTCGGCCTTATCGGCCACCTCGCCGTCGAGCGCCGAGCGCCTCACGTGGGCGACGCCAATCACCGCGGCGGCCAGGATGCCGTCGTCAGCGCGATAAACGCGGCGCTTTCTTTCGCGCCATTCGCGGACAAGTTCGTCACCGTCTCCCTATTCATAGCGTCGCGATGACAGCGACGCTCCTCTCCTCACGCTCGCGGCGTGCATGGCGGCCCGGCGGCCCGGCGGCGCGGCGGCGCCGCGAGATCCTCCCGACTCGTTTTTGGAGGCCAACATGTTCCCCTCCCCCTCCGCGGCCTCCTCGCGGCCGCGATGCCGCGATGAATGGCGCCTGCTGTAACGACTCGTACCACATCCTGGAGCAGGCTCACTTAGTCACGTGATCGGAGGACGTGTCCCGGAGACGCGACTCGCCGCCACGCCGCTTATCTGCGGCCTTATCACCCTGACGGCGCGGCACTCCGCGGCACTCCGCGGCGCGGCCGGTGGCGTTCTCGAAAGCCTTAGCGCAGCGCGAGGATCGCGACGGCCGAGACACGTCGCCGTCGTCGCCGTTTTTGCCCGCGCGACCCGCACCGCGCCGCACCGCGCGCCCACCAGCAGAAAAACAACGCAAAAGGGACTTATTCATCACCGCGACGTGACGTCACCGCGCGGGCCGCACGGAGAAAGGGGGGGGGGGGTAATTGAAGGCGTGAGCCCTGGAGGGGGGAGGGGGAAGCCCCACCGGGAGGAGAGCGAGCGAGACGGCACATAAACAGGAAATAACAGCATTAAGATGGTGATTATGTTGCGTGGTCGAAGAGGATGGATCGAGGGCCGAGAGAGACGGCGCGACGTGTAATACGAAAACGAACAAGGATAGTGGCGGAGCGTGGCGGGCTAGCGCTGCACAGCCGCCACTTGTCTCTGGACTGGAGCGCATCTCTATGGGTGTTGTGTTCCGTCCGTTCCGTCCACCAGAAGCGCGGCATTCGCGGGCATTCGTCCAGTGCCGCGGTGAGTTGCAGATCTCCGAGTGTGTTACTTCATTATTTTATTAATCATTGCGACTCCGGCATGAACCCCGCTGGTTGGGCGTCGCGGTGCACGCGCTGCACGCGCACGGCGACAGCCCCGCCGACAATATCATTTCTCGATTGGCTCGGATTAGATCGCCTGGCAATTAAGTCCATGTTTTTCAAGCGGCCTGCCCGCGCCGGTCCGAACAGTCGTCTCGTCGCTCTGTCTCTCTCGCGCCCCTACGGGACGGCCCGTGAGTGCGACGGAGACAGAGCGACGAAGTGCGGCTCCTCGGCATCAGCCTGCTGGCTGGCTCGCAGCCACCGGCTGCCCGGGCTGGCTCTGGCTGGCTACCCCCTGCATGTTGTTTGCCAGCCGGTCCGGAGATGGCGCTGGACAACCTGCCGGGCGGGATTGCAAATGTGGACAGCCCTAGCGCAGCCTGCCGCTGGAGCCTGCCGCTGGAGACTGGGCCTGGAGACTGGAGCTGGGGCCTGGAGCCCCCAGCGGACCAGAAATACGACTTGCGGCTTGCGGGCGTAACGCTGCCGTGACGCTGGCGACGCGGATTGGCGTCAGCCTCTCCAGCACCCTCGGCTGGAGCTGGAGCCTGGAGGGCGAGGGCCGCCGGAGAGCCGCTGGAGCGTCGAGTCCTCTGGAGAGCACCAAAACTTGACGCAAAATATTTGCCGCTCGCAGCGAAGGGCTTGGTTTTTCAGCGTGCGCGACGCGACGCCCGGCCTGTCCGCTCTAATTATTGCCTGTTGCGTCAAGTTGCTGCTGCTGCAGCTCCCCGCTCCGCGCTGTGGCGTGGCGTGGCGTGGCGCGGCGTGGCGCGGCTTGCATGCTGCGGCCAGCGGCCGTCGCGTGAGCGTTTTATTATTTCCAGGCTTCCTCTTTTTCGGTCCGAGTCGAGCGAGGCAGACCGAAGGGCCGCGCCGCTGCGCTGCGCGCTCTATCGGCCGAATCTGCAGCGCCACACTCCGCCACTGTCCGCGGCGCGTCCTCGTTTTGGCGCGGCTTTTGATCGAGGCCGATGTCACGTGACGACCGCGTCACGGCAGG